TTAGTAGACAAGGAGGTGAGGGAATGAGCAAGGTACGATGGGGACTTGGTGAGATGGAGTGATAGAAGACATGGCTCTATAGTAATTAATGATACAAAGCAATGCATATGACTGATCTTATAAGATAAATGTACACAGAACACCACATATATGATGAATGATTTGTTAGGTGCCGTCAGGATGGATGGTGAAGAGACTGAGATTCTTCACAGCTTTAGTTTGCTTGGCTCCACAGTCAACAAACACTCTTGGTACCAGCAGCCAGGAAATCAAAAGAATTGCATTGGGAAAGTTTATCAGGGACCTCTCCAGAGTACTGAGAAGCAATGATGTCAGTTTAGAGACTAAGGTGCACCTGATCCAGGCTATTGTCTTCGCTATTACTTGCTGTGTGTCAAAACGCTGGACAATGAGTAGGGAGGATAGAAAGAGAATTAATGCCTTTGAGCTGTAGTGCTGGAGAAGAGTATTGGATATACCATGGACTGTCAGAAGAACAAACATCCTAGAAAGGGTGAAACAGGACTGCTCCTTGGAGGCAAGGATTCTGAAGCTTCGTCTGACATACTCTGGACATGTTCAAGGAGGGACTGGTCCTTGGAGAGGGACATCATGCTTGGGAGGGTGGAGGGACAGCATAAGAGAGGAAGACCCTTGATGAAATGGATTGATTCATGACTGGGTTAATGAGGGGAGGGGTGTCAGAGACAGTAAGGTTGGCACAGGATAGAGCAGAGTTCAGAGCTGTTGTATATAGAGTCATTATGAGTCACAAGCCACTTGATGGCACATAGCAACAACAGCAACTCCAATGCCACCTTCCTTTCTTCACGGTTCAGTGAATTCAAACTTTGGCCAGTTCTTCCAATGGACTTCTGTGTCACCTGTTTTGACAACAGTCAATTAACAAGAGGGAAGTCTAGGAGGACAATGGAGGTTTCTGCCTGGTAAACAATGTCTTCTGTCCAGCAGCGTTCCTGGACATCAAGGCAAATGGCCGCTGTGGCTGCCGGCGTTCTCAGAGAAGCACCATTTCAAGGTTTCCTGTAAACCCACCGGCACCAGGGGGCCCCTGGTGTGCAGTGTCCTGGGTGGACACATTGCTGGTGGAATTTCCAAGTCAGAATCTATGGGATCCGACTGCCTCTGATTTCACCTGGGGGCTGGCTAGTGGACTTGAACCTCAGACTCTTTGGTTACCAACCAAGTGCTTAAGCATTGTTCCACAGGTCAAAGTTCCACATTTGACATGTTCTATGTATGCTCTTAATATTGCATGGATAAGGCCAGATGATTGCAACTGTTCATGTCCTGTACACACCTTCAGGGAAACGTCTAGACCAACCTCTGAACAGCTGGGCACCATCACCCAGACACATGGACACATAAAGTGACCCGTCACTGCGATTCCTGTGCCCTTTGGTCCATAGGGCCGCTCAGAGTAGACGCAGCACCTAACAAATCTGCAGGGAGTTTTGCTGCTAATCCCGAGGCCACTCCTCTCTGGTGGTTCGAATCCACCAGCAGCTCTGCAGGCGCAAGGGGGGCAGATCTTCCGTGTGGCTCACAGCCGCCCAGAAATCACCGGAGGAGCAGCTGGGTCCCGCGTAACAGCAAGGAGCCAGAGACAGGGGAGGGGGCCTGACTCCCAGGGCAGGGTCTGTGCATGTGTCCATGGGGGAGGGGGCCTGACTCCCAGG